TATAAGAAGAAAATCAACAGGCCAACAGCGCACAGAGAGAGAGAGAGAGAGGGAGACAGAAAGGAGGTGTTGGCCTTTTCTTGTAAGATATTTGTAGAAACTGGTCTTAGTTCCTTTAGTTGGCCTTGCTTGGACCGTTGGTTCAAATTTAAATAAACAAACAAAAGGTACGAAGGTTGCTAGGCTATTCTTAGCCAATCCCAGCGAACTGCCATTTTGGCTGAGTACCTTCAAAGGGGAGGAACATGATGGTGCAATGGTGCACAAAGTTTTTCTGGTGAGGAGCTGCAGTACTTCAAAGCCGGGAGTTTTTCTTAAATAAGTCTGGTGCAATTTGCATTTTGGCGCCGGGTGTTGGAAGGGTTCTGCTGCGAAGAAGTCAACCACACATTGAATAACTTTATCTTGAGATACACCAGACTAGAGCAAATAGAACAATCTTTAGTTGTCCCACGTGTGGTTCCTCAGCTGACATAGCTGAGGTTCAGCTTCGATGCATTTGCATTATGTGCTGTCTTGACATGCCTATTCTTGCGCCCATGTGCTTCCAACCAGAAAAGAATACAGACTCAAGAAGAGTCTCAGAAAGCGCTTGACTGAGTCTCATCTGACTGTCTTGCCTGAAGAAAGTAAGGAGATGCAATCGGCTGCATATTTGACAACGTCCGTGCGATCGATGAAAGCTGATCAGTTTCTTTCACAATACAAGTTGAAGAGCTTGTCTGACCAGGAGCTTCCAGAGTTTTGACTGTAGGCAGTTTTGCAGACAAGGCAACAAACCGTTGGTTTTGCTGCGCACCTTGAAACATCTGCACAAGCGCAAACAGGACTTCAAAGACATGTGGCGGCGCTATGACCAAGATGACAGTGGCTTCCTGGACATGGAGGAACTGCGTGTTCTACTAGAAGACCTGCTCGAGCGTCAATGCGGACACAGGAATCTGTCAGATGAGACTTCACTCAATTGAATTTACTGCAATATGCCGCAGCTTTCCAAGGCAACCAAGCCCCTGTATATGTAGGTTTTTTTCGGGCGCATTTGTGGACGATGTATTTGTGTAGTCTTCTTTTTGCATGGGAATAAAAAATTTTTTGGGAGTGCCCCAGAAGCGAGGAACTATTTGACATTTGCGTGGACGTAATCGACAAGAATAAAGATGGGCAAGTTAGCTTCGATGAATTTGAGGAATACCTGTCTGATTTCTCGACCATTGAATCGACCATGAACCAAGCATAAATCCAAACATTCATTATTGTTTATTTGTCCGAAGACAAATATAGAATATATTTATATATTTATATATTATATAGATTAATTGATATGGAATAATATCTATGTAGATTTATCTATCTATATATATAATTCTTTATATATTATATATATTATCTATATTTATAATATATAAATATATTTCTTTTATATTATGATAAAGCTAAAGAATTTTTAAACATATAAATCTTTAAATGAGCGTCGTTTAAAAACCCACCTTTTCTTTGTTAGTGATCGAATTTTAAAGGCTGATTTCGAGTGTGCTCTTATTGTAGTCGCGAAAGGTTCGCGAAGGTCTTGCGAAAGGTCTGCGTAAGTTATATTGGTGATTTGACCACGCTGTAAAAACAATTGCTCTTCAGATTTCCGATTGCTTTTTCCCGGATTGGGAAAAAGCAAATTGGAAATCTGAAACAATTTTGCTTTTTCCCGGGCCGGGAAAAAGTAAATTGGAAGTCTGAATTTTTTGCTTTTTCTAGGCTTGGGAAAAAAACAAAATGGAAGTCTGAATTATTTTGCTTTTTCCCGGCTTTCAAAAAAGCAAATTGGAAGTCTGAGCAAACTGGTTTGATTGAGCCGTTTCTTGTTTATGGAGGGTTGGGCAATTAAAATGGCTTGGTTGGAAATCTTGACCATTTTGCTTTTTCCTAGCCCGGGAAAAAGCAAATTGAAAATCTAGATTATTTTGCTTTTTCCCGGCCCGGGGAAAAAGCAAATTGGAAGTCTGAGTAAACTGGCTTGATTGAGCCGTCTTTTGTTCATGGAGGATTGCGCCTAACCAAAAACCCACTAGCATGAAAATGACTTGGTTGGAAGTCTTGATTATTTTGCTTTTTCTTAGCCCGGAAAAAAGCAAATTGAAAATGTAGGTTGGGAAAAAGCAAATTTAAAGTCTAAGTCAAATTGGGAAAAATTAGTTTATATTAGGGTTACAAAGTAAAATTAAGGAGCTGTGGTCTAATGAATAAGGTGCTAGGCTTATAGGCAGAAGGTTGCGTGCTCGAATCTAACAGGTACTGCTTGTTTCCAGGCCGGATTCTAAATTGTAAGCCTGATACATTTTGCTTTTTTCCGGGCCGGGAAAAAGCAAATTGGAAATCTGGATTATTTTGTTTTTTTTTCCGGCCCGGGAAAAAGCAAAATGGAAGTCTGAACTATTTTGTTTTTTTTTTCCGGCTTGGAAAAAAGTAAATTCGAAATCTGAACCATTTTGCTTTTTCCCGGGCCGGGAAAAAGCAAATTGGAAGTCTGGCCGTTTTGCTTTTTTTCCGGCCCGGGTCAAAAGCAAATTGGAAGTCTGAATCATTTTGCTTTTTCCCGGCCCGGGAAAAAGCAAATTGGAAATTTGATATATTTTTAATTGTTTTTTTCTCGACGTGGGAAATTGCGTAAGTATGGCGAAAGGTTCGCATTGTGGACGCGAAAGACGATAGGGTCAAACCCTACCCCACTCCACTTTTCTTGCTGGAAGCACACGCTGGATACTCTAGCTGCAGATGCACTCATAGCATGCCTACAAGTGTAGGTATGTGTGGTGAGGTGGTTGGTTCTACGGCTGTAAGTGCGCATACAACACGGTCGGTGACTCCAGCGTGCGGTTCTGAGGATGTAATATTCGACACACATACACCTGTACGCAGGATTTGTTGTTTCTGATCTGTTGGATTTCGATCCGCTGCAGTCTTTGGCAGGACCGCAGGCATCGGTACTAGTAACAAGGACGCTACTAGGGGATCCTGACATCGTTACTGGTGACAAGGACGTTACTAGGGGCTCCTGGCATCGCTACTAGTGACAAGGACGCTACTACACCGCGGGGGAGCGGGGGAGACTGTGGTTCATTTTGGGGCATTCCCGAGAGAGCAGAGAATGGAGAGAGAAAGAGAGAGAGAGAGAGAGGCAGAGACGGGAATGACCATCTGCAACTCTCTGTATTAAGTCATGCCGCTGTCTGAACCATTTTGCTTTTTCCCGGCCCGGGAAAAAGCAAATTGGAAGTCTGAGCAAACTGGCCTGACTGAGCCGTCTCTTGTTCATGGAGGGTTGTGGTCAACCAAAAACATACCAACATGAAAACTGCTTGGTTGGCTGGCTTCCTGTTCCTCAGCAATCAATGTGTCAGTGGTCAGAGGACACAAGACGTGCCAGGGCAACTGCATGAATCTTTGAAAGCCTCTAGCCCCAACGAAAAACCATTTTCGCCGACAGTGGTAAAACCCCACGCGCGAAAGCTTGCGAAAGCTTCGCGAAGGTCCTGCAAAAGGCCTGGAAAAAATGAAAGGACTTTTGAACAACCCCCAAATATCGTTATAATTTGGACAATTATTTCGAATATATTTTTTTTGCATAAATAATTTTTCTTTTTCGTATTTTGGGACATTTATAAATAACAATAATATTTTAAATAATTGGATTATTTATGGCTTTATATTATTTATGGATATTTATTTTTGCTTTTATATAATTTGATTATTGAATAATACTTTTGTAATTAATTTATATATTTGAATTATTTATAAATACATATTTATATTTTAAAATTATTGAATTAAATATTTGGGATATTTTAATTTTTTTTTGTTTATGATACATAATTAGATTAATTATATAGGACGAACAATATATTTCGTGTATTATATTAGGTTTTATGTTTTTATTGAATTTAAGATAAAGTGTTTTGGGGTGATTTTTGGAATTTATTTTAGTGTTTGATAGAAGATTATTGGCCTCATGGAATAATATCGATTCCGTCTAGAATAACGAATAATGTTCCCGTAAATGGAAGGAGGAAATTGCTGCTAAGGAGGTTGCGACTAAGGACGTTTCTGTTTAATTACAATTGGAGATTGGTGCCGTTGATCGGAAATTTGATATTTTGATCGAGGAAGAAATTCGTTCGAGGGCAATGGCAGAGGAGAAGCGCTTCGGAGATGCAATGATTATTTCCTCGGGACCGCAAGGACCACCCATGACCTTCCATCCACCACATCCTGTTCAAGAACAAGTGTCCGGGACGGTCCATGGGGTTGGGACATCTCCAAGAAGCGATGCGTACTCCCTTGAAATTTGATCACTCGCATGATCGTTGGCTCCCCACAGGAGGCGATTATAGTCATGTCGACACGCTTCTTGCTACCAAATGGGAACTTCTGAGGCCTGATTTGGAATTATCCTTCCTTTCCGGTCTTTGGCGGCCTCATAGAGCTGAATGCGGAATTCTTCCAGCTTCTTCTTCCGCGCGGGAGTTGGCATGTCACTTGGGTCAGGTGGCTCTGCCACATCTTCCTTTGAACTCTCCGATGATGAGCTCCTTACAAGTGCACTATATCCTTCAACTTGGATGGAGATCGATTGAATACCATGGGACCATAAACCTTCATGATCTCTTCCTCCTGATGTTTGCGCAATTGCTCGTATAGCATCTTTCTTGGATACAAGGATTCCTCCGTTTTTGTTGAACTGGCATTGCTAGGCTTAGTCTTGGACTTTGGCTTTGAATGAATGCGGTTAACTTCACTTATTGTTCCTGGGTCGCTGCCAGATGCCGTTGTTCGGTCCCTGAGCCTCTTCTCCTTCTCGAATTTTCTTTCCATTTCTTCATCCTTTTCATCATCGGCTAGAAACTTCAGAATGGTGAAGCAGGAGTTTGATCTTCAACTTGAAGCTGTTCGTTTGGTGGCGAATTCTGCCCTTTCGATGAAAGGCCTGGTGCCTTCGCATCTCGAGCCTCTTGGGCCTCATGTGCTTCTTTTTTTGCCTTCTCCTTGGATATCTTGTCCTCCTCTTTAGTTTTCGTCTTCGGTGTTGCCGGCCTGGAGGGAGATTTCTCCTTTGCAATTCTTAAGATTCCCTGTCGCGAAGTTGGTGGCTCTGGCTGGATAACCCATGGGATTGGGGTATCCGTTTTATATTGCGGACCTAAAATCAGTGTGTAGTTCTGGTCCTGCCAACTACTCCGGCCTTGTGAGACCTTCTTTATATGTTCCCAGAGTGCTTTAAACCTGGATTGCGGCGGTGGCCTTTTTGGCTCTGGGCGGCGATGGCCTTTTTGGCTCTGGGGGCTTGTCGGTCCTTGGCTTCTTTCTCTCGGCTTCCTCCTCCAAGGGCTCCGCCCGCTTTGACTTGGAGGTGGCAAAATTAACTGATGATTCCCGTCTGAACTCCGGATTTTGTCCTGACTTCACATTCCAACAGACGGCATCGCGCAAGTGCTCGACCTTTTGCTTTCATCCGGATAACGGCGGTCGGGAGACCTGTCTTTGCCTTTCCGTTTTCCTTTGCCTTTGCCACGACCCTTCCTTCCTCTGCTCGGCCGTGCGGCTCTTAGCATTCCAACCTGCTGCAAAGGCTTCCTGCAAGATACCCCTGATCCATGTTTTCCATCTCTTCTTCTTCATCTATATATTGATATTCTATAGGGTCACAACCGCCTTCATCTTCATAGCAGCCATCCTGCCAACCATATTAGGCATCCTCTTCTTCCTAATAGAGGGCATCTTGTTCGGCCTCCAACTCCAGGTCTTCACCTTCAATCGAATCATATTCATCCCAGCCCTCATCATCTTCATAACCAACGTGAGTGTATCGGCTCGGCCGGTATGGGCCTCGGCGGTCGGTCTTCTTGACCCATCTTAGCGGCGGTCGTGGCGATGTGCTGCCTTCCTCTCGTACTCCGGCTTGTTGAGGACTTTCCCAGGGAAGATCCTTTATTTGAAGGATCTGGCGGATCCTCAAGTGGCTCCTTGTTCACTCCGCGATAGCGGCGACGTCGATGCCTCTCCTCGGGCTGCGGTTGTGCCGACTAACTGCTCGCTAGAGTGCTCGGCGTCTCAACTTGCATTATCTTCGAGGACTTGCCTTTGGTTTTGAGCTGACCTTTAAGAATGGCCTTCGGAGTTGACCTGGCCTTAGGAGCCGCTAGAGGTATCGACTCTATCCTTGGGATCAGCGTTAAATCCTCCTCGAACTCTTCCTTTTCATTATTTTCCTCCGTCCATTCGTCCTCA